GGCTAGCGCAGGTAGCCCTCGTGTAGATTTGCGCGAAATTAAAAAAACAAAACAAACAGTCCGACTTGTTTTGAGTCATAACATCTAAAAGTTGATTTGTTTTTGTATATATATGAGACACATAGTACCATTTTCTTTAGAACTAGGGATTCGCAAAACTATTGTTATTTTTAGAATATTGGAAAAGAAAGGATAATAAAAAATATCTTTAACTACACTCAATCGTGTTTCAAAAGTGTTACGAAATGAAAAATCTAGTAATCTAATCAAAATAATAATAATTCCAACGATAACAGAAAATCATTTTGATTTTTTTTATTATGTTTAGTTATATAAACAATGTTTGTAATATTATCGTCTTTTGTGTTGTTTTTGTTGTATCGCCTTCTACTACTCATAATACATAGTTTTATTTAAGTATTTTTACAATGAAACTTGCTTATTAATAGACTCAGTAGATCTACTTTCTGTTTAGTTGAGCTTGTCTTGCACAATAATACCCAACCAATCTTTGAAGTTGTCCTTCATACAACCTCCCCTATAAGGTTTAAACCGTAGTTGTTGCTGTTTGTATATGTTATTATATGGATTATTTATCATCTGTTCCACGGTCCATCTTGTTGCAGTGGCAGATTTTAACTAGCTGCCTCACCTGTACTCTGGAAGTTCAAAATTAGGGACGGCTTGTGCAGCTTTGCGCGAATTTCAGAAACAAACCAACAAATGTGTTTCTACCTAATAACTTGTACCCTACGATGCTCCAACTTTCTTGAAATTTTGGAAGTGAAGATAGTCCGTAGATGGATTATTTGCTTTCAGTAACCAATAGCTTCCCCCTTTGACCTTTAATTACCAAGGATTCTATGCTTCCTAGCATAAGCATGCTAGAAGGAAAGGTCATGGGTTCAAGAATCTTTAAAAGAAACGTCGTTATTTATTCATTCATGATACTCAAATTACAACATGATTTAGACGCTATGAAAAGTGGCTCCTAACATGCTAGTTTTAGCTATGTCAGGCATAATTTAACTTTCCCCACCCCACCCCCTCCCCGTACGGCTCCTAACATGCTAGTTTTAGCTATGTCAGGCATAATTTAACTTTCCCCACCCCACCCCCTTCCCCGTACCGACCTTCTATTCCATTTGAAAAATCTTATAAATGCCCTTTTCTAGGATGTGAAACTGGTTTAAATATTGACATAACGTTATTGTTTTTTGTGACTTTCAGTGTATCTTTTAGACATCCTTGATTAACGTAGTCTGCTACTGAAGGTGGTTAACTAATAACGTAAAAATTGGATACGCGCAGAGAATTATACAAGTAGCCGTTAAAAGATCCGAGTTGTTTGGACATTTAATTTCTCAGAATCTCATATAATGTACAAACGATCCAGATTCAATTTGTGATTATTTTATTTGTTGGTCAATAGCTCCTCCTCAGTTCATTCAGAAGCCTCCTGCCGTGATGTACGTGAAGGTAGGCGAATCGCTGAACCTATATTGTGCTGCAACTGGAACTCCAGAACCTGTAATCACATGGTTCAAAGTAAGAATTTTAAGTTCAGTCATTTGCGGTAACTGATACTGTGAAATGTTAATGCTAACAAAAGTGTTTCTACCAATTAGGTGGCACACTGAACTGTTAATATAGTTCCAGGTAAGAATCAGAAGTAGTATTTTTGTCTTTATGAGTTTATCCTAATTGACCAGGTAACATTAAACTTTGGGAAGATAGTGTTGTAACTGTAAGGGTTTCTGTTGATGGGCAGGTATTTTTGGATTATCCATTAAAATAAAAATATAAGGTCCACCCTGCTTAATGATAACGAAATCGTTTTATTTCCTCGATTTGCACAAGTTCTAAACTTTATAAGTTAGGTACACATGAATAACAGTATGTCTAACTTCACAAATCAATAATGTCTCAATAGAAATTCCCCTTCCTTTTTCTTTCTTACACATAGTACTTCTCGTATGTTTAGTATTTTGATGAAAACAAACACAAGATTTGCAGCACTGAACTAACTGACTGACTCAATAATCAATCAACATTCTATATAACCCATTCTCGATCAACACATTTATATACTTTCAAATCATTTCCTAATCTTTAAAAAAAATTCCAGATGTTAAGCCTCGCACTTATCACGTGATATCAACTCTCCCTCTAGCGTAACTACAATGCAAACATCTAAGTTCAGAAAAATATACATTTGTTAAGGAAACCTTACAACAATATAATTCTCAGAGCCTGTCTTGTGAAAAAACTAAATCAGGGTTTAAAAAAGAAAGGAAAGCTTAACTACTCTCCTGGTTGAGTGCCACGATACATTTTGGTAAAATGAAATTCCTTTCTTTCAGGTCCTACACTACATTCTTGCAGGTTGCATATCATATACAATCAAATGAACTATTTACCATTTTCATACAAGTAAATCTGATTTTATGGCACAAAGAAATGCTGGTCACACATTATATTGTAGTAAGTTTCACTCTAAACACAGCCCTTGTATAATCTAAGTCATCATCTGGTTGAGTTTTGGGTACTGTTTATTTTGTTCTATGGTCACATCTTTATTGTTCTTGTTGTTGTGTTATCCTTTTTCATCCGACTTTCATCATTCTCCTTATTTTTCTGTTGTGATATCAGTGTTATTTGATTTTTTTTGTTCCCAATTCCACTTTGTTATACTTTATGCCTCTTCCTTCAGCTTTTTTTCCATTTTCTCTCTCATCTGGTCTACTAGTTGTTGTTTTTTTATTTTACTGTTTCTCTTTTCTCACATTGTCGTCCCATTATCTGTCACCCATTTCTATCATTCTCTTGATATATATATATATATATATCCAAGGTACATAGCACTCTTTTTTAACTATACTTTTTATTTTCCTAGTTTATTTCTATTAAGGTTGTCTTTTCCTGTATTTCCTGAGTTTTTTTGGTTCTTCTTTCTTTTTTTTTATTGTTTCTTGACTCTCCTTATAATATCAAATTTTAAATCATTAATGCAAATTCTGTTACATTTCTTATCTTCTGCTTTATCAGGTTTAATTTTTCTGTATGTGCTGGTAAATGCTCTTACATATCCTACTTTCAATTATAGGTAGGTTTATGTTCATTAGTGAATTTACTGTACAGAATTTGTAATGACTTTGAATAAGTTTTATTTAGAAAAAAAAAAGGCATGTAAACAAAAATTGATGAGAAAATAAAAAATTAAATATTATGGTATTTCATATTCACATTAATGCCAGAATCAGCATTTAGTCTAAAAGAATTGGCCTTTTTTTCATTCATAGAATAATCAAGGTTTGAAAGAAAATGCAAGAATTCAAATTCTTCCCACAAAACTAAGGATAACACGGCTTCAGGAGAGTGATTTTGGGGATTACTTATGCAATGCCCGAAATAAGGAGGGAAACATTAATGTAGCATCCAAAATCATAGGAGCAGGTAAGTTCAACTTGTATTTGTATAGAACTTTCTTATGTTCAGACATAAAAATTGTCTTAAACTTTCCATAAAAAATCGTTATTAATCTGTGTAAATGGAATGGATAGTAAGGTTATCTAATCTTATGGAACTTGCTATAATGTTGTGCTTTTAAACTCTTTATTTTAGAAATGAACTGAACAACATTTAATGTGCAGTGATCATACTGTAGCTTGTAGGTGTCTAATAATTTAGCAGATGGAACAAATATATATATGAATAGACAATAGCTCCCTAGAGACCCATATGGAACAGACACAGCTGAAGTAATTTATTTTAAAAGTGAAAAACTAATATCGTCTGATCATTGGTTTCAAACATGAGGTAAGATTCTCCACTCATATATATTGGTTGCTGTAATACAAACATTATACACATGAAAATTGCTGCTTCAATGGACCCCAAGACATTTACATAAATACAATAAAAATAATCCAATTAATTGAATAAAATTTGAGCAGTTGCCTTAGCAAAGTGCAAGTTACTTTTCCAAAGTTAAAGAAAAGTATACTTGAAATATTTCTTGGATAACTTCAAGCAAACATCTGTACAAGATAATTGCAGCTACCTTGTCTTTTCTTAGTAATTTGAATATTTAAAAAATTTAGCACGTACATTATGTTCTTGAAGTTTAATGAAAAGCAGTATCCTAATACCAGATTAATTTTATTTACCTTCTGTGGTTTCTGTGGGTGTAAAGTATTACTTATTAATTTGTATTATAAAAGACTAAATTGAGACTTCCAGTTCAAAATATTATATGACATTATATAAAGTCTTTATATTTTTAGCTTGCATAAGTGCAATATATCTTTTTACATTCCTACTGTATATCTTTAAGAGATTTCCTATATGTCTCACAGAAGTGTTCTTTGGAGCACATGTCAAAATATTACCACGTCATAATGAAACAAGTATAACTAAGATAATATATTCTTTATAAATTTGAAATTGAGATGTATTCTGAGTTCACTGTTTGACTCTCTTACATAGTAATTTGATGACTAAAAAATTATAAATAACTTCCAATGATATTTAAATAAGTTTTTAACTTTTACATATAAATAGAAAATAGTATGTAAATGTACGTATTATAAAGCTTTATATGATGAATGACTATTAATTTCTTATCATACTTCTGCCACACACCAGGTCGTGCTTCCATCACGGTTCCACCACGTAACACCACAAAAGTAGCAGGTCATAAAGCAGAATTCATCTGTGAAGCTAAAGCACTGCCCACTAACTTGACTCACCGCTGGTTACACAACGGTATTGAAATATCTGAGCTTCCATTGCTCGAGGCTCGAACTTTAGTCCGGCGTGATGGCACTTTGTTCATCAATCCCACATCACCAGAGGACTCTGGTAACTTCACATGTGTGGTTTCAAATGGTATTGGAGAACCAGAGTCTGCCTCTGCTTTTCTTAATGTGGAATGTAAGTTGATCTGTCAGAGATACACTTTTATAATGATATCTAATAAAAGATTATACTGACCATATTTATATTTCAATCATTTCAGTTACTGTTATATTTTTTTGCAGATGCAGCTCGTGTAGAACACTCACCTAGCCCCCAGTATCTTCCACTTGAAAACAGTGGCATCATAATCTGTGATGTAAAGTCTAATCCACCTTTTCAGTTTGTTACTTGGACTAAAGACAGAAAACCATACCCAGTGGATGAACATCCTGGTGTAACCAGTCTAAGTAATGGATCCCTATTGATCCAAAGAGTAAGCCATGTACATCAAGGAATGTACAGGTGTACACCATACAACATTCATGGCACCGCTGGTACATCCAGCCAAATGGAAGTATTTGTAAGAAGTAGGTTTGCTGAGACATAGCTCAAAAACTTTAATGTTTCACATATCATAGATACAATCTTTTGTTGCATACATTGAAAATTCTTTATAATATTTGAACTATATTTAATAGTAATTCAAAGTGTGGTGTACTTTCTACACCTTTCTATTTATTATGTATCAGTATAAAAACTTTGAAGACAAGGTAGGTAATCTTGTATTTTGGGGAATTATATCTCTTTAAAAAACTACAATGTACCAGTTCTGGGTGTTTTTGTTTACTTTTTTTTGCTAGCAGATATTTAGTTGTTTGTATTTGTGGGAAAAATGTTTACCTCATAGCTGGTGTGATGGTGGTATTTAGTATGTTTGTTTACAATATCCCTTGTGAAAAGTTTCAGACGTTTCTAAGGAACTAATCAAAATAAGTAGGATTACCTTTTTCTAGAAGTTTTTCTCTGCTGGTGTCCCTAGTGAAGACTTAGAACTTAAAGCACTGAATAGAAAAAAATTCCACTTAAAAGAGTGATATCTATACATAATAGTGTTTGAAGAGATTTGATAATGTATATATAAAATGCAATACTCTAATGTAAGGAAATCCTTTTTTCTGCTCTGCTGGTGGTGTTCTAAGTAGGTTTAATATGTATTATTTGATAGATTGTTAGGGCTGAGTATTCATAATGAAACTTTGTAGAATGGATGGCAACTGCCTGTTGTAGAGACACAAGTGTAGAGGACGACGTTTCGAAAGTTTAACATGAATATGTTTTTACTGTAGGCAACTGCAGTGGGCATTTGTGAAAGTGAATCTGACAAAGTATTAACTTTGCACAGAATTACATTCAATTTGAAGTTTATTTATGAATGTAAACTCACAAGTATCATTATATTTTGTGTTCAGTCATAACTGCTAGTATGTTCTGAATCATTCATGTAAATTAAATTAGAAATTAGTAGTTTCTATTCTGGGATTTCTCACAGCTTTAAATTACAATATTTGAAAAACAAAAATATACACATACAAGGAGGCTACAGTAATTTTCATAGTAGGCCCAATCTACTCTTCCAGTTCAGTAAATTTTTGTGTTCCTCTAAGTAATTATTGATTAATCTTATTTTAAACTCTTCGGTGTTTTTACTCTAGTATTCAAATAATGAATTACTGACCGATATAAAAGTAGCAACTGTTATTATTTATCCTTAAAAGTACATCACAGCTATTATTATTTGTCCTTAAAATTACATCACAGCTATTATTATTTGTCTTAAAATTACATCACAGCTAAGATAAATAATAATAAAATTACATCACAGCTATTATTATTTATCTTAAAATTACATCACAGCTATTATTATTTATCTAAAATTACATCACAGCTATTATTATTTATCCTTAAAATTACATCACAGCTATTATTATTTATCATAAAATTACATCACAGCTATTATTATTTATCCTTATAATTACATCACAGCTATTATTATTTATCTTAAAATTACATCACAGCTATTATTATTTATCATAAAATTACATCACAGCTATTATTATTTACCATAAAATTACATCACAGCTATTATTATTTATCTTAAAATTACATCACAGCTATTATTATTTATCATAAAATTACATCACAGCTATTATTATTTACCATAAAATTACATCACAGCTATTATT